GCTTTTTTCATTTTTTTTTTTTTTTTTTTTTTTTTTTGCATATGCTTTTAAATCCTTGAGGTATTGTTGGCCTTTTTCATGTTCTTCTCTCTTCTTTAGCTGGATTGGGGATCCTCCTGCAGTGGCAGATTCCCATGACTGTTTTCTGCCACAATGCCACTATGAATATATTGTACCAGCTTTGAAGGGGTCAGGACCTCTTCTGACCTGGAGAGGAAGGGTTCCTGAATCTGAAAGGCTAGTTTTGTGGAGAGTAAGAGAGATTCTCTCACAGGAGGTACTTCAATTCTAGATAGATTTTTTTTTTTTCAGGTATTGTGAGGACATTAATAATAAACAATACTGCCAGACAGTAAGGTAATGGGAATCACTAATTTTTAATATGAAAAATGGCAAGCCAAAGGAAGGATTTTTAGCTCATACATGTCCTGTATTTACATTCTGAGCTAGGGCTGATCACTGACTGTGCATTTATTGAATAGTCTGTTTCATTCTAGCACAACCTGTCAAGGCCTCTCTTCAAAGGACATATGAAAAAAGACTTCTGAATTTATTTTTTTTACATCAGCTTTGAATGGCAGTGCTTACCTATATATGGGATTGGTCTGACACAGGAACTTGAAGCCAGATTGTCAAAAGTAGTTAGAGGCCTAGTGATACAGATAGATACTTCACCCAGTTAAAATTCTGTTTTAAAGGTGCCTAGTGCCTGTTTTTAGTGGTTACTTGGCATCTAACTTGCTTAATTTCTAACTGCACATTTAGGTATTTGCTGTTTTAAAAATCCAGGTTTCAACCTCCCATGTCATTTAGAAGAAAAAATCCTTGGTTCCTATCTCTTCTGGGTTTTCATGTTTTTTGTTTTTGTTTTTGTTTAGTTTTGTTGTGTTTTTTGTTTGTTTGTTTTCCCCCTTCTTCTAACTTTCTGGTGATTTCCTCCTTAGTGGAACCAAGAAGATGCTACATTAATAGGCCCCTTTCTGGGTATTTTAAAAGATTTCCAGAATCTTTCTCTGCCTTTCCCAAGTTAATTCAAAAGCATATGTTTAGACTGCCCCGAATCTGTGAGGTCCCAGAAAAAAGAACTTCCTGAAACCTCGTCTTAATTTAGGGAGTTTTCTATTAGAGAAGAACTTGTCAAACGTTTCAGTGTCAAATGTCCAAAGCTTGATCAACTATGATTATTTCAAAAAATGTAAATAGAAGTGCCAGATGGGTTTCTGATTTGTGGTGGGGTGAGGAAGAGTTGAAGACAAAAGGTGAATTATCTTATCTGTTAACTACTGAAATTGGGTATACCTTATTAGGCTACCCTGGACCTCCCTCAAAATGCTTCTGTTAAGCTCTTTATTAGGCAGTACAGAGGTGTCAAGATGGGACCAAATACCACAAATTTTAAACAGGCAGCAGCAGGGTAAACAGCTGTAAGGTGCTTCTGGCGATGCTGCAGTGCCAATCATGGTCATTGCCTTTGTCTTTGAAATGTGAAGAAAAACAGTGTAATAACCCACAGGTGTTTCTTTTAAATATCTTTAAAAGATCTTTACATTTCTTTAAAAATCACTGTGTGATTAGAGAGCTGCAGTAGCCGGTGGGAAATTTCCAATTTGTATCTACAAAGGGAAATTATGTAAGAGGTAATGCTCGAGCCTTGAGCAGTTTTGGGGTAAGAACCTGGCCTCTTAGTAGCAGGACTTCTCAGCAAGGTTTGAGGCCTTGGTCTTACCAACTGATCATCCCCCCTCCTGCAGTTCCCTACCCAAAATTCATGTGACCTTTATGACTGTAGGCCTACTTATATTGGGTTAAATACTGGGGACTTGTGCAGTGAGCCTAGCTCTCTTGCTAGGAGTTATCTAGTAAATGTCTAGCTTGACTAAAGCCTGGACCCTGTAATCTAAACTTTGAGGCAGACTCTTGTCTTGTGGGGTCATAATGACTTCAGCTGAAGAGAATAGTGTCAACTCATCATCGGCCATCTTTCCACTTGCAGCAACTGTAAGTCGCAGGGAAAGAACAGAAAATATTTTGCCCAGCTACGTGTCAGCTTGGGAATATGGGGTTCAGTTTCTTTTCCAATAACTAAAAGTGTTTCTTTTGAGCTGGGGAATTTGGTACTTATCAAAAACCAGTTAAGTGCATACTTAAATAAGGGAGTCTTTGTCCTTTAATCTAGGTCTAAGATAGACACCTGGTAGAAACCTCAGAACCATTTCCTTTTGCAGCATTAAAGATGGTGGTTTCTCATCTGTGTGTTGTCTCTGGACAGAAGAGGCCTCCCTCTTTCATGACTTTGACTAATAAGTGTGGTCTCTTTTTCCTTAAACACCTTGCAGCTTAAAATGTCACCACTGAGACTAAAGTCGCATGCTCTGGTATATTCTGAAGACTAATATCTAGTTGCTTTTTGGCATCTCTTAAGCTTGATAAATTGAAAATGCACAGTTTATCACTGAGCAGATACGAATATGCTGAATCAATAATGACAGTGTGCAGATAGATAGCATGTTCCAAGAAGTGAGGAAAAATGGATTTCACTGACATTTTATTAGTCTCTGCAGTGAAAACTGGACTCGAATTGAGAAGTTTGGAACAAGAAGCATATGCAATATACTTACCGTTTACAAGCAAGATGATTAAAAGCTATTGAAGAGGCCTAAACATGTCTAGAATTTCTTTGCAGATCTCCTGAATTCTAGAGGATGTCCTGGATCTGTAAAGAATTTCCTAGTTCTGATGCTTTTTACTTTATAAAATGTCTTAATCTTTCTACAGCTGAATTTGACTGGAGCATCTTATTTTTTGTACAGCTTTCAGTGAGGAAATGTAGGTGATGAGGTGTTTTAAAAAAAAAAAAAAAAGCCCTATTCAGACTAAGATATATTTTATTCTTGCTTATAATTTTGTTAGAACAGAGGAGAATAGCACAAATCCTATGGCGAGGTGAGTCACATAAGTTTATAAATAGATTCAAATGCTGGGCATGGTACCTAGTCTCCTTGGATACTTG